GTCACATTTTTAATTTTTTAACCTATTAGATATGCAAACTTTTTAAATCTTTCTATTGTGTTATGTAGCCTCAGTATTAGGCCTTTGATGGCCATTGACAAAATTTTTCTATGTCGAATCATTTTTAAGTTCTGGGGGTTTTTGTTAAAAAAACGAAAAGTGGTCAAAGTTACCCCGCTGGTCAAAGTAACCCCATTTTACGGTACTGCTGGTATCCAGGACACTTTACTGGTCTACTTATAGGACTCACAAATGAACTTGAAGGAGAGTCTAAAAAACTCTCTGCTTTGCCACTATGCTCATTATTAGTCTCATAGTCATAGTGAATACTGAATAGTGATACCTACTACTACCAGTACATAGTAAAATCCTAGTATGGACTATGGCCCAAGCATGGATCTACAGAATCTACTTAGCAAGTCAAGCCTGGTACCCCTGGTTGGCATGACAGTGCCCACCGCCAAGCCACGACTATACCGTCAGCGTCAAATGGGGTTAAAAGGGATGGGTGGGATAAATAGGGACATGCGTCCCACATTTTGTAGAAATGTTGTAGGCTTGTAGCAGCTAAACTGTAATCATTAATCAAAATATTGCAAAACTAAAATAGTGGCGTAAACTTCAACATTTTTACTATCTATTAGGTATAAAGCTAGTCAAGAAATCAAACATTTACTATCTCTAAGAAATTGCTGAAAAAAGTGTGAAAAGTGAGATTTTGGAAAAGTACCTCTGCTAAGGTCTGGAAACGTAATTGACAGAATTTGCCTATCTTACTCCAAAAAAAATGGCAGCCATTTCCGTGTGATGGGGTAAGAAGGGACACCCTTAAAAATGCATTTACAGTACCGTAAACTGGGGTAACTTAGACTCCCGGGGTAACTTAGACCACTTTTTGTTTTTTTAACAAAGACCCCCAAAACTCAAAAACTATTTGACATAGAAAAATTCTGTCAATGGGCATTAAAGGCCTAATACTGAGGCTACGTAACACAATAGAAAGATTTAAAAAGTTTGCATATCTAATAGGTTAAAAAATTAAAAATGTGACCCACAAAAAAAAGCTATTATTTAAAGCCTGTCGGAGTACCCCTACCCCCCATTTGCAAACTATGAAACTTTCCTCAAGTTTTTCATTTGCATATGTAACTAGAAGAGTTCTACTACAATGCACCAAAACCTGGAGTTACTTGGAGTTATTTTACCAAAAATATAATTGATTTTACCACACAGTCTAAGATACCCCCAGAGCTGGGGTAAAAAAGACCATCAATTTTTTTTAAATTACATCAAAACTATGGGAGGCAGGAGCCAGCAATTTATGGTGAGTAAAGCTAGAGTATAGACCTGTATTTTGCATGTTTCAATTTAAGTTTAACTTATCTAGTAAAAAAATGGCATCATTTAAAAAAAAAAAAAAAGTGGTCTAAGTTACCCCAGTTTACGGTAGAAGTGTAGAACCTCAGTTAGCAAAGGCTCCAATTAACAAAAAAATTGATTACCAACAAAGAATTTTGATTACATTTACCCTTTGGCAAAAAAAATTCACTTGTCAAAAAATTAGTGCATCATCAGTCATCACAAAATTGTACATAGAATGCTATATATAGTATTGTGCACTGGGCATCATAGAATGAAAAGTAATTTACCTAAACTATGATTTATTTCTTCAAAACATATAATGGTTGTCACTAAAACATTATTTTCTGTTTCAGATGTTTTTCAAAATCTTTTTTGTTATAGTGAAATCACTAGACTAGATTAAAATTGTGCGAAATTACAAACCATCCTGTAAGCTTACAGATACAGAAGAAATGCTACATGGCTGCTGATATGAAGCTTGCAGTGGACAAGGTTGTTGTCAATGCTCAATGGCATATCCATGGATACAGTAATATCACATTAATAATACAGTAATTAATGAATATGGTAATATCATATCAATAAAGGAAAAACAAGTAAAAATCACAGAAAATGTCATTTATTTTACATCTACATCATCTACAATGAAAGAGGAGGACTTCAGAGTACTGTTAGTAATAAATGAGTACACTCTGCATGCTTCAAATGTTTGAAATTGAGTTTTATTTCAAGTGCCCCTTTTTCCCTCATTTTAACATTATTTCAGGAGCCTTTTATTTTGCGTCTGGCACCTTACAAATAGCATATGGAATTTTTTGAAGATGCCATTAGATAGCCCTCACAAAGAGCCATAAAATGAGCCTAAACTTGTTTCTGAAATGTTTCATGGTAAGAAGTTACGTATTTACAAAAAATGATCAAAACTGTCCCTTTTTACCCCTTTGACGGTAGCGCTCTGACGCGCTCTTACGTCTGTGTGAGCTGAATTAAAAACTAAGTACTCTGGAAAAATGGCAAAACGGCTTTTCAGGCCATCATTGTATTCACTTTAGCAGCTCTAGCCCATGAAGAACTGTAGGTAAGGCCATGATAGTTGCCAGTATCATAGTTAAAAACTTGCTTTATTGACTGATTATGATGCCATTTACTTGAAGCAAATGCAAGATGGTGAAATATGATGGCGAAAATTAGTGTGATCATATATGAGCATACGCCTGCCAATGCTTAGAGATGGAAGTGACTATGTTTGGTCATATGCCCACTAGAGGAAAATTTCTACAGCGCTTGGTAAATATGTTTGTTAGCATTTAGGGGTTAGCGGTATTATAATTTAAGCCATGTTTTTCAGTCTAACGTACCTATAGTTCAGCACTTGATGCTTTCCCTGACTTTGACTGCAGTCCAAGCTCTTGGCATTCCCTTCGCTACAGAACATAGAGCCAACGCGGTTGCAAGCAAGATGGTCTCTGTACTGACCCAGACGATAACATGTCCTTCACCAATACTAAATCTGACAATTTTTTCACAAGTTTTAGGTATATGTTGTATATGAATGTGACTCTTTACATACAACATAGATGTCTCATTATATGAAGGGGCTGGAAAAATCTTGCGATAAAATACTAAATGTACCTATAATTTTTTTCATCTTGATTGCTTCCTTTGTATGTGTTATACTAATACATGTATGCATATAAGAGCAATCAAGATGTTTTTTACCATCTAAATAGTGAACTTTCAATGTCAAAATCAGCATTTTTTTTTACCTTAAGCCGGCAAGATCCCATATATGATCACTTCATTAATTGCGATTTACTACTTATATACAAAATTTTTCGAAAAATGCTTACAAGCAAATATATCTTAGAATTGGTCATACTTTTAAGTACTACAATCATCAAATATTGCCATTTCATTGTATTTCTATGTCCGCCCAGGAAAGGGTTAACTATCTATTCTCATATTATTCAAATTTAATCAAGCTACTATAATTGATTGACTAGTCATTGCTACTTCTAACTTTGTAAAAAATGCAGGAAGTGTGAGGAATTTACATGAATATAATTGCTGATAAACTTTATTTGAGAATCCACAGGATAAATCTTCAAAGGTTTTCAAAGGCAAGATAATAAGAAATGAAGAAGCAGTGGAGCAACTGCAACCAGAGAAAAAAACAGTCTGATTAACTGACAAACGTAGTTCAAGTATGCTCTATATGATCATATTCTGTACTACAGCAATCCCTTGATTAACGCGGTTAATAAATCCCCAAGTTTTACCGTGTTATGCAAAACCGCGCTAATCAAACTTAAGAATATATGGGAATAATTATAATGAATCCTCAAAAATAGCAAAGTTACACAATAATTTTTTTTTCACTAAAATTCATCATATTTTTTTCTAAATAATAGGGGAAATAAATAAAAAAAATGCGAATGAATTAACGTATTGTTTCCCGTGCGTATTGTTGACTCAGGAAAACCTAGGTCTTCACCGATCTTCGTTTTCGTTTCACCATTATCAAAACGCTTAGTCTCTAAAGTGGTATTTTTACGTTTAAGCGTTCCCTTTTTGTCCATAATTATGACGGTAATTTATCAAGGAAAATTATGTAGTTTGATAAAAATGAGCAGTAGATATGGCAGCGATCTTGACCAGTTGAAGGCTAACGAGTAACTAGAGCACCGGCATGGCGCACTTACCGGCGAACGTTGCCTGCGTTGTGAAAAAAAAGTCGCGCTAATCAAAACTGGCACCGCGTAGATAAAGGGTAGGTCGCAAATTTTTTTTCCGTGTTAATCAAAACCGCGGTATTCAAAACCGTGCTAATCAAGGGATTGCTGTATTCCAATTTACTGGCATATGATTTGACAGTGAACTTGATTCCCAATCAATGAATATTGATATACCCAACCTTCTAAATTATTGCTGATGGCTCCATTTAGAAGTGGCATTAGATGCCATTCAGAGGTTTGACTTAGATAAAATGTGCAAAGGTTAGTTATAGGTTGGCCCAACTCAGCTGATTTAGTAAATAAGTTAATTAGTAATAAGGTTAAGGTTTTAGGCCGGCATAAGGTCAAAGTAATTAATGCTGCATAGACGACTTCGTATTGTTGGGTCCAACTAAAGAAGTGAATTTGCATGCATTGACAGGACTAGGGGCCCATTCCATGCATTAAATCAAGTTAATATAGAGAGAAAATGCACATGTTATGCTGTACAGTATACAGCAATCTAGAATGCACCATTTGTCACCTCCATCCAAGCTTCTTTCTGTTAATTATTTATCCCAGACCTTAATAACTATTCAAACTTAATCTTCATGGTCTTCCTTAAATTAAAACGAAACAGAATTTCTTATAAAAGAGCATTAATTTCACTTTCCAAATCATAAGTTCTATTTAAATGCTCATATTTTTATTATTGGGTGTAGTAGGGAGGATGCTACTCATGGAATGCTTGTCTGCTGTATGATTGGTGATTCCCAGATGCATAATAAAGTAACCTCAAACTGGGGCTGTTGTGGCCTTGTGGGTCTTTGTAGGAGTCGATTTTAAGTGGCCATCTATGGTAACTTGCCTGCTAAATGATGAACATGGTTATAATCAGCTGGTTCAGAAACTAACTATCTTTATTTCATGTATATTGTTTAGCATTTTCAGGTCTAATAAAATGTTCTTACGGTGTACATTGGCAATTCCTAGGCATATCTTGCTTAGGCAATTACCCACGATACAAAATGCAGTTAATATATCATCTACTGCTGCTAATAAAGCTATGTTTAATGTTCAAGATGAAGAGGATTTTCAGAAGCGAGTTATTGATTCTGCAACACCAGTAATTGTTGACTTCCATGCCAGGTTAGTGAACACCTCTTATTGCACCAAATTGGTATTCATTTGTACACACAAATTCTTTGCTACATATGGCTTGATCCTTTTTGTCTTGTGAAACTGCTGTCTTAACCAGAGCTGAGGCTTTAATAACCTGCTTGTGTCTTAACCCTAATTACCTACTGCTGGAGTGAAAATGCCCATCATTCCTAATAACCTCTGTAAAAAATAATGACAAATCTCACTGCCTTGCAGTCAAGATACTATTCCACTGAGATCTATTCTTGGTGTTGAATCAATAATGATTTAGACGTTTTGATTTAGAATGATTAGGTGGGTCACGTAGCAAACTACTATAAACTTCTACCACTGAGCAAACTGTTCTGCATGTTAGCAGTGGAGTGTTCTCTTTTCTGATAAACAAAATCAGTATTTCACAAGCTGAATTTGTGGGAGGTGCTCAGGCTTTCTGTTGTGCTCAAGCATCAATGGTGGGCAATGAACTCAAATGAGATAAAAAACTATTGGAACAAATAAACTTTAAGAAAGTAGCCAGCAATGAAGATGCACATACACCAGCAATTAAGATGCACTTGCTCCAGTGAGATACACATGTTCTCTGGCACCTGCACATGTAAAAGACTGTGATCAGCTAACCATGGTTGTGGTCTAACGCTAACATTAAGCGGTTGTGGTTGTAGTATACGGAGATGGCTCTGTTTGAGACCACATATTTATTTGTTTCATTCTCATAATTTTCAAACATTGTTTTGAGTTCAGAATTGTATGTTTGAAGACTGCATTTGACAGGAAACTATATATAATAAGGCCTATTAAAAATCATGGCTTATGTAAGATGGAGGGCAAAAATTATTGCCCATGATGCTGAAGCATGACACAAAAACCCAAGGCTGAAGACTGACACAAAAACCCAAGGCTGAAGCATGACACAAAAACCCAAGGCATGACGCAAACAAATATTGTACGCAAAAAAAAAAATATTGTTTGGCTTGATAAAAGAATTGAAATTATCAAAAAGCTTATTTTGTTGATGAACATGATAACTTGTTTGATGAACAAATTCTGCCATTTTGTACCTGTATATTGAAGTTGATTCATGTTCACAGCTGGTGTGGTCCGTGCAAGCTGCTGGCCCCAAGGATTGAGAAGGTCATAGCTGGCAAGGGTGAAAAAGTACATCTGGCAAAGGTTGACATTGATGACATCTCGGATGTTGCTCTGAAATATGGGGTATGTGCCTGCATGGTATAGCAAATATGAAGTTTTTTTGGGACAACATTGGAGGTACAATTTTTGTGTGTGCTGCGTTTTGATCAAAAGTATTATTTTGTCAGAAAAAGGATTCAAAGAGGTGGAAAAACGGAACTATTTGTAGAAGGCAGATCTACCTATCTCTGAGCTATCTTTGTTAAATTATTCACATAGACCTGACTCTTCTTGTGGTCCTACATTGTGATCTGGATTATTTGGATAGGTAACCATTTAGCCTGCATTTGTTTTATATTTCTATTTCCAATAATTATTTATCTGCATCTAGCACATAGTAATTTCATTACCTTGGTTATTGTATTTTTGTTTTCCAGTGGGTTGAAAATTTGACCCTTGATAGTGACGGATTTAAATCTTGGCTGACTGGCAGTTTTGTTAGAATGAATATGTCACATACTTGGATACCAGTTCTCATTGATACCAAATGTCTTTCCTATCATAACTCTTTTAAAATTGCAACTCTATTGTCATTCTCTTGTTATTCTTTATAAAGTTAGTTTCTTTTGCACAAGAGAGTACTACCATATATACGTATCTGCAATAGTTAGTTATTGGAATAAGTATCCGATTTACCATGTCTAATGCATTTTGCACTTAAACTTAGCTCTCTATTAACATGTGCAAACCTCACCAGTCTTGACTCAGCTAGAAGTCTATGGTGTTATCTTCCTCAAATATTTTTTTGACTATAATTATGCCAAAACTTCTATTGATTCTTCCAATCAAAATTCGTTATCAAATTTGAAACTGATAGTAAGAAATATTTTAAACAGATAGAAGAATGACACTTAGGTGGTTTCAATTTAATCTATTGCACTGCTACAGCCTATGAATGGAAATTTCACTGCAATTGCACAGAGGCGCCGCCGCGCCGGTTAGGCACCCAATCAGAGTGCTGCAGTGCAGATGTGTGCATAACTTACCTATAGGTGTGCTTGCATATGATAAATGCCGCTGTTAGACTTTGCAGTTTTAGCGCAAAAAAGAGCAGCTTCTTCCTTAGATTGCTTGACCCAACCTCTGTAAAATTGGCCTCAAATATTAAATGGGAAGTTATTAGAGGCCAAAGTTATTGGAATTATGGCTAAGAGGATTAATGCTAAATTAAACTTTTAATGGCTTCTAGTAGCTTTTTTTCATAGCTTCAGTAGACTTTTGTGCTTGCTTAATTCAAGGTACAGGGGCAAATTTTCAGTGTGCATTACAATTGTTTGATCTGAAATACTGTTTAAATTAAAGTAAAGCTCTCATTTTGTATTATTATTTTTCTCATTTGTTAAGTTCACTAGTATGACTAACAATTTATTAATATACTTTCCAAACAAATTAAGAAAATTAATTATAATAATAAGATCAGCTCAGAAAACTTCAGAGTAGCAAAGATGAATACAGATTCAAATGAACAAATAATTGTTATACTATAGTATGGCGATCATAACAATTCATTATTAATAATATTTCAAACTTTACAGGTATCCGCAGTGCCCTCAGTGATAGCCATCAGGAATGGCAAGGTGGTTGACAAGTTTGTGGGCCTCCAAGAAGAGAACCGCATAGAATCTTTTATCAATGGAGTTATTGCCGAGTAGAAAAAATCAAAACCTAGATTTCCCTTATAGATATCATCTACATTTGTTTTGAAATGATATGCTCATTAGAATAGTTCTACTGAAGATTCTAGTGACATTGCCTGTGATTTACTAAGCTGTCATCTTGTATGCTATGAATAATATTGGTCTAGGCTTGACTGGTCGCATTTATTGTGCCACAGTAAAATTGTATGAATTTAGTGATCTTCAGTCATTTCGATTTAGAGATGCTATGTATCTCAAACATTATGAATGTAGCTCGACTGTTACTATGATGATATTCGATATTTAAGCTCGTATGTTTACCATGGTGAATTCTAGGGTGGAAACTGCAAAGTCTTGTTCTTTGAAAAGCTGAAATTCATTTCAGAACATTGTTTATTTCCTGTATGAAATGAATGAAGTCACAAACAATTTGCCATCCCGGTGACTGAGCCATAAATTTGTTTATGCCTGTCTTATATTTTTTGTGGCCAACATTAACTTTCATTATGTTTGGTTCATTGGTTTTGTTGAAGGAAAGATTAAATTTTTATTTCTATCTCTCCTAATATTTGTCTATTCTATGATTTTCATCTGTAAGTTTCGTGAACATTTCACCACATTTTTTATCCAAAGCAATCTTGATGAAATTATGGGTATAGCCTCTGCTGATGAAATTCATACACCTGTTTTTTGCCTTGTTTTGGTTACTTTATTAACATGGAAATAATTCATTTTAAATTTTAAAGAACCACTTTTTATAGAATCACTTGATTCAGAATTTATCATTTACCTGATGTTAGCTTTCATTATTTGCTGCTGTTTGAAACCAGTTAATTTGAACTTTGAATTTTTATATGTATCAATGTTTCATTGAATTATAGTATGTTTTCTATTCCATATTGATTCTTGAAAGTTGTTATCTCTTGTGGAGTTAAATAGTGAAGCAATGATGTAGTGCAGTGAAATGGCAAGTTATCATGTCATGATACCTAGATTCTGCTCTCCACTTCTGCCTTACTATTCTAATGATGTCACCTACGATTTACTTCTCACCTGTCAATTGATAAGGAAGTTTCTCTAACTGCGTCTTATCTGCGTTTGCTTCCAACCATATATATAACTGCTGACTAGATGTTTTGATTACGTATGAGTTGCTTACTTAGGTCATATAACAGCCATTTCAAATGATGTTTTTTTTTCTGCAGAAATAGTATCAGACAGAGATAAAAAGATTTATATTGATGTTTAAGTAAGGAGCAATTAATATGATAGTTGACTTGAATAACTTGAAAGGTTGTGCTAAATAATATCTTCATTTGTTCATATCATTAATGTCACAAATGGAGATGTAATATTCATGTAGTAAACTTCCAAAGTTGATGTTAACGAAATAAGTGAACTTCTGAATGATACTGCTCGTTCTGTATGATTTTCCAAGCAACTGTCATACCAATCTTTGTTATTCTGTGTGTTGAACGAGCCATAGTTTTGTCTCAACGACCTTAAAACCTTCTGAAAATACTCCAGTTATCGACTGATGTCGGCTTCCCACTTTCAGTAACCTTTCACTTCCTATAACCTCTCACTTCCTATAACCTGTCACTTCCTATAACCTGTCACTTCCTATAACCTGTCACTTCCTATAACCTGTCTCTTCCTACAACCTCTCACTTCCTACAACCTCTCACTTCCTACAACCTCTCACTTCCTACAACCTCTCACTTCCTACAACCTCTCACTTCCTACAACCTCTCACTTCCTATAACTTCGCACTTCCTCAGCTCAACTGTTGTACCTACTCATTAGCTTGATTAGTCAAGTCACATCTGACCTTTCGGTCTTTCAACATTTTGTTGGCTGTCGTCCTATCTTGATATTTCGTATCTTGGATAAACTGGGCAGAACCAGGTGCATGAGGCATTTAAAAGTCTCGTGGTTGGTTTATATTTTCCGTTACGGTACTGTCTTTATGATGAATTCAATTCATTGTTTCGGTAGTGATGAGATTTACGTTTTTTCTGCTATTTGTAGAACTGAACGACGGAATGAAATGTTTTCAGCAGCTCAATCATCAAGCGATGTGTAAGTAAAAGATATGTATCATATATCTGTGTTTATTAGCTATAATTATCGTCATTTTTGCCAATGTACTTATCATTTTGTCACTGTATTATATACTCACCTCCACATGTGTGTTATTATACACGTGCCCTCTACATATATTTGTGTAAGCTACATTAAGCTGCTGAGAATTGCGAATAGACAATTTCGATAGCAGTGTTTATTGTGGCCACAAAATCTTACTGTGATTAATTTTGCTCATTTGTCCCTGTATGTCTGTTTGTGAAATGATGCTTCTTTGTCGAAAATTCAGGTGCCATAAATACAATTTATTTGTGTCTACATATCTGCTTGTCGTGGACTTGTTCATGGACTAGAAATCATCCCCTTAGAAATTTTAGTTATCTCATTGATGCCAATTAATTCACTCGGTGATTATCATACTGCTAAGCTCGTTGATTTCTAACCCAGCGAAATTCTTCCCTACACTTCACTCATAGAGACATCGTCATTTTGCTGCGCATCCCATTCTGATGTAACTTCAATTTGTTTCATTCCCTGTTTCTAATTTTTTGATCGGTTAGTGAATATATTTGTCTGATTAATAGTTGCTTCTAGAAAGCAACAGCGACAATGAGAGAAATTTTTTTTTTTTTGCATGTTATCTAGGCATGAAAGTTTCATTCAATTCGCGCTAAATCATCAACGACTAGCTAAAAATAGTGCTAAGGTTTCTTTAAAACAGCAATTTTAATCTGGATATTAGAGTGGTTCTTGATGTATTGCAAGCTGTTGCTCCAGTCCGAGCTCACCGCAGAAGACAGGAGTACTCAGACGCTTGTCATGCTTCTTATTTATTGTCATATTCAAAGCAATGTTGTTCCTACCAAGCATTGTTGAATAACTGGTTATATATGGAGTATTACCATTTTGTTGATTTTAATTTTGTTATCTTGATATGTGACCGGTATTCTATCCTTGGCCGAACCATCGCCTCCCCCCTCATCAATGCAACGATTGCATGCCGGTCTTCCTGCGTTTACGGAATGAACGAATTCTCAAATTTTACAAATGAGTAGAAGATCCTCATAGTCAAGTCACATTGACATCAACCTAAAAACGAATAGTTTCTGCAGGATTATGTGCGAAATATTTTTAACGGTGAAAAAAATTCACGAGTCTATTAAGTTTTGTGTCTATATCTTCTTATCGCTGCCTGAGCTAATTATCTGAAGGAATATATTCGGTTTATTTATGTTGTTCTGAAAAACTGCTACTACCAAGAACCTACCTCCTGATCACAAACGACCGTGTGTGTAATTGTCGGCCTGGAATTGCTGATTATGAAATGCGATAGTGATGATTGAGCTGGGGAAATATGGTGTGGTCGAAAATCTATCGTCTGGATTTCAATTGAACTTGTTCACTTGCGAGATGAAAACAAACTTTCGTTCGTCATTACCTTACAATCACTAGGAAGCTTGTTGCCTATTGGACCCACCGCTGGTTGGCGTTGGCGGTGCGCTCTCTTAATTCTCTCGGTTCTGTTGCGTGCTGTTGCGTCTGAGCTCCTGGCAGGGACTTGGCGCTCCCTCGGTATCTTCTGGCCCATCGCAGATGGACGATCTAATACGGACAGTTTTACTAATTTTCAAAAGCTCACGTTTATCATTCATTATCATATAGAAATTTCAAATAGTGGTTATATAAAATAGCATAAGAATATCTGTACGCTGATGAATAAATAATAAGCAATATCCGAATAGCTGTATCCTATATTTTCTCGATAACATTAGACTGGGATTTGTAAGGTGAGAGGGTCTACTCAGTTGCTGGGACGTTCAAGTAATGACGCCGCCGTTTAAATCATTCCTACGGTTGTTGTCGCTCACGACGGCTGCCTCTGCGTGTTTGGCGCCAGTCTTTGGCGAAGGCTTCAAACCTACGAGGTATGTGCTAGCGTCTTAAACTATTTTCTAAGTTCGATGCATTTTATCGTTCAGCGAATTTTAATGTATTAAGATTGATAGGGGAAATACGTTGCATTTCCATGCCATTATTTGTAGCATTGCGTGCGCTTTAAAAGGTTCTTCACTGCGCCTTCTTTGTGTCGTTAGATATGATACTTATTTGCATGACTGCTACATTACAAACTGTACCTGCAGATATCTGAACTAGAATATTTATGAATATATGGAAAATACATTTTTGTATGAACTATATTTTCATTCATTCTACCTGCAGAACTAGTCTAATTTAACGTTACAGTGTGAACGCCAAGATGCTGTACGATTTTCGCACTCTGGATTCCGTAGAGGATTGGATAGAATCCTCGGACACGGTGCGGACACCTGGCAAGAGTAAAGCAGTCTTCACTCTACAGGTACGAATTAAAATTGCCACATATTTATGTTCCGTCTCAACTAGCGTTTTTTTATCAATTTTGGTATTGGAAAAATTTAACAAAATAACGGTATTTCATGAGTGGGTCATCCGTAGATAAATTTTGTTTGACAATTTTTCGATGACTCGCCTGAAGTTCAAATAAATTTCTCGCTGTTACCCGGTTACCAGCAATCAATTGACGTTTTCAATACAAGGCAAAAATAAAAGTTTAAATGGAAGTCTCCTTTTTTATGATAAACACGATTCCAATATAATCGACTTAAACACGATTCCAATATAATCGACTTTCAAAAATTTGCAGGACTGAACTACTGTTCTTGGAGGCACTAAGTACGAACAAGGCTTGTGATTCCATTTGATTCATTTTATACCGTCACTCCTCAGACGCTTACTGAATACGAAATTAATACATAACATAGATAATGAAATGATTTCCCTGCACATCATCTGAGAAATCTAGAATAATACTAATCTGTTACGACTGGAACCTTATTTTACCGTAATTTATTATTTCTTCACTTGCGCATCCAATTATTAATTTAAGCGTTCAAAAATACAATTGATCGCTTTTAGAAATTTATTACGTTTTTATCGATTGTACAGTTTGTGTTTGCTGTGCACTTCGAACGCTGATCTTGTGCCGGTCGCATACGCACTTTTGAATAGATTTCGAGTCTTGCTAATCACTTGGATATAATCGAGCAATCATTGTGAACTAATTTTGCAAGGTAACATGATGGCCTGACATCACGGCCCAGATGATCTTATCGACAAAAACTTTAATTTCATTTTTCATCTAATTTGGAAACATGTCGCTAAAATTAATTTTTTGAAATAATAAATTTGAGAACGATTAATTTCTGTCGTTTCCCCCTGAAGCACCTCTTTTATATTCTGCCGAATGTGTCTCTCACAACAGGGTTGACACAGTAAAAAATATTGTACTGCCCCGGCGTCTGCACAAACTAATTGAAGAAATCAACTCTGGTTTTGTCCAGAAAACCCGGGAGTTTCAGCGCGGTGTTTTCTTCAGCCTGCTGAACCCTCAGCCAAATGGGGCTGGGTTTGCAGGGGCCGCGTCACGCAGGCGATGGGATCTTAAGGGCAACACGGGCCTGGAGCTGCGGGTGCGAGCGCAGGGCGACTGTGACACTTACAAGCTCGTGCTCTACCACAAGGACCAGGCACCCAGCACTGGAGCCTGTGCTTACGAAGTCTTCTTCACGGTTAGAGACATTCCCGCTCGCCAAACCCTCGCTTACCAACCATTTGGTTTTGTTATTTGAAGTCACATGCGCTATGAATTAGTTTCCTGATAATACTGACTGCCGTTCCGTCGCTTGACGATCTATGTGCAAAAATTTCATCAGGTGATTTTCATTATATTCTGGACAATACATTAGCATCAGTGATTTGAACATCTGGGCCGATTTATAGACTTTATTCTATTTCCTGATTTGGCACCCACCTTCACAGTGCAAAGTTAAACAAACCGGGTCACTATAAACCGGCACAAACTTCGTAGAGTATTGAAAACGTAAGATTTCAGTTTTGGGTCAAACTATAGCTACAGTTGGTGAACACATCCTGTACTATATATATAATTATTACATTTTATTATTATATATTATTATTAATCTTTCAGTTGCCTCTACTTGAATGGACGTCGGTACAGTTACCTTTTGATGACTTCCAGCCTTACTACCGAGGTGCTCCTTGCAACAACAGCGAACCTCTAGACGTGTCATTCATATCGAGCGTTGGTATACAGGTTGCTGGAGGAGTCTACAGAGAGAAAAAACAAAAAGGGGCGTCTGCTTTAGAAATAGAATATCTCAGCACCTACAAATGATTAACTCGGCGGTGTGTTGATTGTGAATAAATCTATCAGGAATTGCTAGAATCGCTTAAGATATATGCATAGTATTATATCCTACCTATGAGCATTCAGTTAAAATCTAGCAGAAATAAAACAGTTTAATACTGCTGTAGTATCATATCCTTGGGTTTAGATTTCTTTCTTCTTAGTGATGTGGTTATCCTGTTACAGATCAACGTTAAATTTATCAATATATGAGCAAGTTTTGAGGTAGAGAATACAATTTAAAAACGGTTGTAAGATTTAAACCGGCCTAAGTTATGGCTCCCTTCACTACTGCTAGGCCTTTGGCTAGGCCTTTATAGATGTTTTGAATGCATTCCGATTGGGGGCAGCCGTAGCCTGCTGGGTCTGGGGAGTTCCACCACAGTCAGATGCCGGATTGAGTGGCGATACAAATCCGTTCTTGCTTGTGGCACCAAGAGCCAATGCTGGTGGCTTCGTATGCAGTGGACTTAAGCCTACCAGGTGGGACTTTCAAGCCACCTGCTTCTACATGATTTCGAAAGTCATGCAGGCCCTGCTCGCTGCTCTTCTCTCTACACGACGGGCTTGAGGTCTAGTTTTGCTACCTCCGATGAAGCGCTTCTGTTGGCTGAATTAAAGCGACACATGGGTCCCAGACGCACGATTCGTATTCCAGAACCGTTCGGACCAAACCCTTATAGCACTGGATCTGATTGTTTGTGGTGTATACTTCAGGTTCCGGTAGATGAAGGCGCTTGTCCTTGTCCTTGCTGCAATGTACTGCACACGCTTCTCCAGTGGAGGTTGTTGGTGATTTGAAGACCGAGATACTTGGCGCTAGTGACGGATTCCATTATATGGATTGTAAAGCTGTGTAGAGTACAGCAGGAAAGTATCTGGGACCTTTTTCTGATTTCTGAGACAAGGTGACACTTATCGACGTTGATCGCTTTCTGTCAAGAGCGTTCCAGGGCTTTCAGCTAGAGGTCATCTTTCATGAGAGTACCGACGTGTGTGCTTCTGCTGAGTGAGAATAAATGTCCGCGAAGAGTCTGCCCCTGCACTCATAACGACTTTTTACGTAATGTCAATTATGTTCAATTAAAATTGGTTCCGAGGTATTGACTTGCATTATTATCATTCAAATTGCATTGATTTGCGGATGTAATGAGTTTCTTTACTATTTAAGTTATTTACGCCTAAAATATTCTAGTTTGCATTATTGTTAGAAACGCCCTAATGACTCGTCTCATGCTCCTTGTCTTGCGGATTCCTCATCATGATTCGCAAATAAATTTAAAATGATGGGGTTTCAATTTGTTATATGTGAAAATTACACTGGTTTGAATAATCTTCTTAGGTTCTTTAACAATAATTTATTTTTATGCATGAACGAAAACTGATGCAACACCTTAATCGAGAAGGTTCTCACAAGAATGTGGTCAAGTCATGACTGTCGTGTTCACATATTCGTCACACGGTAACATCCACGGACGATATCATTATTGCAACTTATCAGGTTCACAGGCATCACAGCTGCTTTTGGTATTCTCATGATAACCACTTGTTTAATGTATATTATATCCGCAAAATAATATTTTTCAATTATTTAATTTCTTATTCATAACTATAAAGTATTCCCCTTGTGCATATTATATATAGGTATTTGTTATTGTTTAGACATGGCTGGGACAGAAGAAGATAGTATGATCCAACTTCACATTAAAACTTCAAAAAATCGTGAAACCATTGAATTGATGGGAAATTCGACCATTGATGAGGTAAGGAGTTTAATGTTGGCAATTCGATGTATAATATATAGCTGTAACTTAGATACCTTGAGTTATCTACTTGAACATACAGTGACTCCTCATTGAAATTTGAAATGTTCTAGGTTAATGGTTCTAGGATAAAAATTATGTCTGATAATGTGAAAATGAATAAAAATAAACACCAAAAAAACAATTCTATTTTTGAAAGAGTTTTGTATACTAATTGTATATTAATTAAATGAATTTCTATGTTCAGGTCTATAGGTATTATGCAATTGTTAATGTACCTAATGTTTTGTTTCAGTTTCGCAAGATAGTGGCTGAGAAATTCAACACAAGTCCTGATAAAGCTTGCCTCATATTTGCTGGAAAAATTTTAAAGGATGGTGAGTTTTGAGATTCATCGTTAACCACAGATTTATTTTTAAATGTAAATGGTGTCAAAATTTATTAGGCCTAGGTACCTATTTCTCCACGTTTTTCACTTCTTGGTTGGGTGCTTCCATAGTGCTTCACTGCTTCTTTCTAGGTTTTGTATCCTAAGTTGAATCCTTAAGACTGGGTGCGTTGCATACCAGTTATGGAAGACCTGGAAAGTCATGGAATTTTAGTTTTCATTTTCCAGGCCTGGAATGTCATTGTATTTCATTTCAGGTCCTGGAACAAAAGGCGTTTTGATTTCCCTCAATAAGGTTGATGTTGGGTACCTAGGGTGCAGAAGTGGGTGAATATCCATTTCCAAAGATATTTGGCGACACATCTGCAGCAAAATTTACGCCTTCTGAAGATCTTGCCAACACCGGCAACACGTTTGGATTGAAATTATTGCATATGAGAAATAACATTGAAAATTTTGAAATTACTGGACCGCAAGCACACACGGTAAGGTTTCCTCTTTCCAGTATGCCAGAAGCCTAGAAGGATCAGGAAGCAGTGCAGCTTGTCTGGAAATCAGTTGCGTTGTGTGCAAGTGTTGCGGTGCGTGGATAGTAAGAGATATACTATTGAAGTTGCTTGCAACACTTTTTTTATTAAAAATTACCCAGTGCTGGATCTTGAAAATGGCTGGCAACCCTTTGGGCTAAAAAACCATATCTTGGCAATGCTGCTTGCAGTCTTGCACCCTCTGCACCCTGGTAATGGTTACATGGCCAGGACCACAATAAGAAAATAACTTGCAGACAAGAAAGCAAGTGCAAAGCAAGGCCTCACTTTCAAGACACGAGCGTGGGACTTCATGCAGGCCGTAGTCCAAAAGCTACTGGACCATAGCCCTATCAGGAATGGCCTTGGTAGGAACCTGAGATGGCTAGTGCCATCTCAACTGCCAAAAGTCTTCATCATAAAGAAGGACTATAAAGATGCCAAAAAGACACAGTTGAAGAACTCTCACTTTGCTTGTTGATGCCAAGAGATTCCCTAACACAGATATGGATGGTGTTGTGGGATGAGATGTGCAACTCACAACATTGCAATGAACTGAATGGACAGTTTCAAGCATTTTCAACTTCTGATCAACTTGACACTTTTTGGCATGCCATTCTGTCAAAGATCACCTACAAGATGCTCTATAAAGTAGTGCAGATGCTCATGCTCCTGTCTCATGGTCAAGCCATGGTTGAAAAGGGGTTTTTGTTCTACAAAGGAATCATGACACTCAACATGAATGAGCAAAAGGTGGTTGATCATGTTGCACATGTTGGTGGCCTGGACAAGATGACCATCACCAAGAAGATGCTGCTTTCAGCTGGCAGTGCCAAAATTCCCACAATACTTATTTGGCAGAAGAGAAGAAGCAGAATGCAAAGTCCCAGAAAACTCAGAAGAGTAAGGCTTTGTTGGATAAGCTAGATGAACTGAAGAAGAAGAAAAGTTGTATGAAGGAACACATCATGGTGTTAGAGCAATCAGCAGATGAATATGCCAAAGCAATGGAGAGAAAGGGAGATGTGAAAATTATTGCAAAGTTCAATGCCATGAGACGATCTTTGAAAACAAATTTAGAGACTCATGAACTGAACATTGAAGAATTTTAGTTTTTTTTTGGAAATTTTCATTTTTCAAAGAAGCCTAATGAGTAAAAGTTATTGAAAAAGAAGAAAATGCTACAAATTTCTTCATACTGTAGCTCCCAGTTTTCCCATTGCCAATTACCGTGCGCATTTTGAGGGTACCAGCGCACATCTTTAGACTTGTTCTTGTACAGTATTGCACAAATAATAAGCTAAAACTGAGATTGTTCTCATTTATTAATATAACATACCGTAAAATGGGGTAACTTTGACCACTTTTTTTCAAAATGATGCCATTTTTTTACTAGATAAGTTAAACTTAAATTGAAACATGCAAAATACAGGTCTATACTCTAGCTTTACTCACCATAAATTGCTGGCTCCTGCCTATCATAGTTTTGATGTAATTTAATAAAAGTGATGGTCTTTGTTACCCCAGCTCTTGGGGTTTCTGTGACCGGGTGGTAAAGTCAATTTTATTTTTTGGTAAAATAAGTCCAAATAACTCCAGGTTGTGGTGCATTGTAGTAGAACTCTCCTAGTTACATAAGCAAACGAAAAATTTTAGGAAAGTGTCATAGTTTGCAAATGGGGGGTGCCGCCCCATAATGAGGGAAATGTGACTCCCTAATGGCAGCCCTGATGGGGTAATATTGACTGGCTTGGAAATCAAGTTAAAATTACCATATATAAGACTCTGTAGAGTCTGAAACATAAAGAAAAAAACATTAATAGTTGTATCAAACATAAAATATGTTTCGTAGCCTCAGTATTAGGCCTTTGATGGCCATTGACAAAATTTTTCTATGTCGAATCATTTTTGAGTTTTGGGGGTTTTTGTTAAAAAAACGAAAAGTGGTCAAAGTTACCCCGCCGGTCAAAGTAACCCCATTTTACGGTAGTCATTTTATATTGTAGTCTGTAGGTATTGTTTATAGTTTGTAACAGCCACACCGGTATGCCAAAAGTTCCATAGTATTTGCAAGATTTAATGGGTCTCATTTGCAGCTTTGGAACAAGTGAAAACACATTGCAATTAATGCAAATATTGATCTATAAATGCCATTTTGAAAAAAATGTATAAGTATTGTTATAAAATAGTATAATTTTATAAAAGTTCAAAACGGCCTAATGCAGAAACTAAAGCACCAAAAGTATAAAGTTGGTTACCTTCAGCCGGTATTCTCTGTAGTTACAAAATAAGTTCAAAAACTGCTAAATTAGTGCAAATAATGGTCTGTAAATACAGATTTAATTAAAGAAACCTTTATACATATGCAGAGCTGGGCAGCGCTACTTGGAAATGTAGCGGCGCTACCGCTACCGCTACATGCTCTAAATGTAGTGGGCGCTACCGCTACACCCACTAGATTGTAACTGGCGCTACCGCTACAGTAAAATGTAGCGCGCTACATTAGCCGCTACAATGGCCAAAATTATTGGAAATCTCTAAATATTTATTGTTCTGCTATTGGGATTTACTCATTAACATTTAATGATAATAAAACATTTTCAAAACATATCAATGCAACTTTATTGCAATTACAGTTATTTTTATGTTTTACCTTCCCTACATGGATGTGAACTTTAATCTACCAATTTAAGAAATTATCCACATATACATATAAAAATCAGTCTTTTTTGTATATATATGTGAATTATTTTTGAGATTGGTAGATTGAAGTAGACATCCATGTAGGGAAGGTGAAACATAAAAATAACTGTGCAAAATAACTGTAAGCAAACTGAAAGATGAAAAAAAACCTGTAAGTGTTAACTGGTAACAACTTAACAAGTAACAACTAACATGTTGACACTAGTAACAGGCTGAGGTTGACAACATTACACCAAAATCTTTCGTACAGTTTTATTCTGTAATTTATATTGTGTATGTATCATGCCGGTTTTTAAATAATATTTAATACTATTAAGGGGACCCGCCCGGCTACCCTAAAAATCGAAAATTTTTGGAAAAAGGGGACCCGTTTTCTTAACTCATTTGTAGCTGCTGAAAAGGCGCGTCTAACGCAGTTTACGGCATGTCTGTGCATGCTATAATTTTTGCGTAAGACAATTTTAAAAATATATACATGAACATTTTTTAACAATATGTACAAAGATTTATTTGAATGAAATCTGTATATATAGATCATTACTCTCGTTAATTACAAAGTGTTTGCACTCGTTTGAAAGCTACAAATGAGACGCGTTCAACAAAGCTACTACCATAGATGTACATGCAATACTTTTTTGTGTAATGCAGTCTTGAACTTTTATAAAATGATCATTTTATATCATTATTTACAAATAAATGGTATTTATATATCATTATTTAGGTTAATTGCAAAGTGTTTGCACTCGTTTGAAAGCTACAAACAAGACGCGTTTAACAAAGCTACTACCATGGATGTTCACGCAATGATTTTTGCGTAATGCAGTTGTAAAGTTGTGTAAAATGAATATTTTACATATATATTTGTATATAAAAGGTCCCATTTATAGCCTATTATTCACGTTAAATTGAACATTAATAGGTCTAAAGACGCGTGCTGGTACCTTGAATGCAAATAATTGGCAATGGGAAAGCTTGGGCTACAATATCGAGACTTTTTGGGCATATTCTTCTGTTTTCAATGAATTTTACTTTATTTGGTTCCCCTGAACAATTTAAAAATCCAAAAAACGCCATCTTAAAAAAATTATAACTCCAACAGTTTTCAAGCTACGGCAATGAGAGACATATCATTCAATTTGTATAAACAATACCTAGCGACTCTAGAAGCCTTTTTTTAATATGTGCATGGTTTGACTTATATATGGGAGGGGGAGGAAGGTGGGGGGTAAAAATGTGAAAAAATGTCTGTAAACAAAAAAGTTTTGTTGGAGGGTGGCCGGTCCCCTTAAGTAAAATCTAAAGGCTTTATCTATAAATGTAGCGGTAGCGCTGTAGCGGCAAAACCTCGTATCGCTACTCAAATATGTAGCAGGCGGGTACCTCTACCGCTACATTGCCTTAAATGTAGAGCCGCTACCGCTACTGAAAATGTAGCGACCGCTAGTAGCGGAAGCTACATGTAGCGCGCTACTGCCCACCTCTGTACATATGGTTTTAAAATGTTTGTTTAACAAAGTTTAAAATGGCCTCATGAAATACCTATATATTTCAGGTATATTATTTCTGTTTCCTTTAGCGTTATAGTTCTCTCTACACGATGAGGTGGAAAATCACAGAAAGCATAATTTTTCAATTTTTAATGGAGATGCTCCCCTTAATTCATTAACCTGTTATTACGTAAAAATCAGAGGAGGATAATAGTTGACTAAGATATACCTAGCTCATGACCTCCATTTTATAATTCATTTTTAATAAACTACCAATTTTTCTTTAATCTTCCTCAATCAGCAGTTGATTAAAATAAAGTGGATACGGTATTATGAACAAATATTACTGTTCACACTCCTCAAAGTAAGGTGTTTAAGACTTAGGGTTTACAGTTTCAAATCAAAGTTTAAATTAAATTTAAATTTTGTTTTTGAATTCAATTGCATGTGAGTGTGTACCTTTATATTAGTACTTGTGTTCTGAAAAAATTTAAGGTACCATTAACCTCAGATCATTGCTAAGTTATACTAGATCTGAGTTCAAGGAGATTATTAGATACTGTCTCAACTTGCAATAATTTCTTCTAGGTGAAACATTGAGCACGCACAAACTGAGAGATGGCCTCACCGTGCATCTTGTTATCAAAGGAGATCAGCCCAGTGCATCAACGTCTGCAAGCAATGTTTCATCACAAACTCCAACTACCACCAGCACATCCACTACTGCATCCAACACAACATCATCACAGAACAATTTGGGGGGCTTAGGGGGCTTGGGTGGTGCAGGAGGGCTTGGTGGGTTGGGTGGGCTTGGAGGGTTGAGTGGTCTTGGAGGCATGGGTGGCCTAGGCAGTCTTGCTGGCCTGGGTGGTCTTGGTGGGGGATCTTTTGCTGAGTTGCAGCAACAGATGCAACGTGAGATGATGAACAATCCTGACATGATGAGGCAAATGCTTGACAATCCACTAGTTCGTGAGATGATGAATAATCCTGAATATATGCGTTCCATCATCACATCCAACCCACAGATGCAACAACTAATGGAGGTTAGTCATTTAAATCCTAATTTAAATATAGTGTCATTAGTTAGCAAAATTATATGAGCTTCTTTTCTCAAAGTACTTTTTTGTTAAATATCTAATGATTTCTTTTTAATCCTTCAAGATTATAATGTATCAGTTCAATTGGCATAATTTACTCATAGGGCATGAAAAAAATTCTGAAAAATTAAAAATTACCCTTGCTGCATGAGTTTTCTTGTTTCAGCAAAATCCAGAGATATCGCACATGCTCAACAATCCTGAGATGTTACGTCAAACCATGGAATTTGCTCGGAATCCTGCCATGCTCCAAGAAGTTATGCGCTCACATGACAGGGCCCTCAGTAATCTTGAGAGCATTCCTGGTTTGTCTTATAAATTCGTTTTTAAGCCATGCTAATATTTGTTAGCCAATCATTCTTGATGAATTATTGAGCAGATGTTATTTTTATGATGTTTGACTTATATTGGATTTGGTTTATGTCAAATATTTTGAAGCAGTTTTGTTTTTTTTAGTGGATATGATCATGTTAATATGTAATTACGTACTTACTATCTGAAAGAATCTATTACATGAGTAACATGACGTCCACTCACTAATTTCTTTAAGAAGCTCCTAAATACCACATCTTTCCCCTTGTTGTAAAGTATGTATTTCTTTCAAATTTATGACTTAAGAAAATCTATTTCATACTTTGAGTACGTATCATTTATGGATCGTCTGAGCACTCCTCTAAAATAGTTCAACTAAAAGTCATCTACCAATGAAACTTAAAAACTGTGTTTTGGAACAATTGAACCACGCTTACAAAACGGTCACCCAAATTTGGTGCCAATATGTCACAGGAATACTAAGTGCTGAATATTACCTTAACAAGAAACACTTGTCAATAAGTATTTCTATTTCCAGGAGGCTACAACGCCCTGCAGCGCATGTATCGCGACATACAGGAACCCATGCTTAATGCAGCACAGTCACAGTTTGGCAGCAACCCTTTCTCATCCCTCGTGAACAATACCAACTCTAACTCACAACCTGGTGTTGAAAACAGTGCACCCATGCCCAATCCCTGGGCACCTCGAAACACCTCTACCACCACAACCTCACCAGCAACTGCTACAACCACGGCCACAGCCACCACTACTTCAGGCACCACATCCACTACTACTTCGTCTAACATGACCACGGGAATTGGTATATATTTTTCAATGCTTCTTCCAAATAAATTTGAGAAAATTTATTGAATTTTGCATTAAATTCTTATATTCTTGCAGATTTGTTGTTGCAAAACTGCATAATAAGACCTGCCGCACAAACGATTCATTACCATCCAATTGCAGTTAGCAGCTTAACTTACCAGTTTCATGAAAATTTTATATTGATCTTTTAGTTGCTCAAAAATTGATGGTTCTTATCCACTACTGGAACGCAATAAAGTAATGAATACTACTTTATATATGAGTTTTCTTGCCTGCAATAAAATGATCCTTTATTTCCTGCTACCGTATTTGAGGTTAATGATATGATGCTGCATTCAAAAATTTTGCAGGTGGAGATCTTACGACCAACATGCTTGGTTCCCCTGGTATACAATCTTTGGTTCGTCAGATGATGGAAAATCCCCAGCTCATGAACTCTATGCTCAATGCTCCCTACACACAGTCCGTGTTCCAGGTGAGAACTCCATGTTCCCTACACCCAGTCCGTGTTCCAGGTGAGAACTCCATGCTCCCTACACCCAGTCCGTGTTCCAGGTGAAGAGACCAGTCAGACGGCAAGTTAAATGTTCATAGTTTTACAGTCTATTAATGACTGCAATCATCTTGCAGTCTATTAATGACGGAAATCTTTCATTTTTGATGTTCATGAAATGTTTGATAAGACTATTAATTCCGCGTTTTTTCTACTGGCTCGTCGTTGAACTTATATCTACATAGCAAATTCACAACCAGTCATCTCTTGATCTAACATTTTTTATGTGTTCATGTAATTGATTGTTTCAAATTGGTGAGCAGAGTTTGGGTAATAACCCTGAGCTGGCACGGCAAGTTATTGGCAGCAACCCACTGTTTGCTAGCAACCCTGCACTGCAGGAGCAAATGATTGCAATGCTGCCCAATTTTATGAACCAACTGCAGAACCCTGCCATGCAAAGCGTCTTGACAAACCCCCAGGTAAGTTGATAATCTACGAATGTCATTTCAGGGAATGAACTGAATTATCGGCTTAGATGTTGGCCTAAAACTCACTCCTGATCTCTAAGGCATTCGGAAAAGGCCTTTTTTGTGATAATGATTGAACTCCATCTTCATGCTTGTCATTCTATGCATAGATCTTCTTGTGACGTTCTCTTATTGAGACGATTAACACGTTGACTACGTATTGGTACATATGCGTACCACGAAATGTATTTCTCCAGGAGGTAGTGGTACATAATTCAGGTTGCCCAAAATCGGCCAAATCCGAGAACAAAAAAGGCCGATAATTCAATGTATACTAGTTTATTTGTAGGTTCTACTATAAAAATTCCATTTATTTTCTTTTTGCAGTAGGTATTTAAAATTTAATTAGGAAGTACCCCTATCATAAATTTTAACCGGCCAACACAATTGAGAAAAACTAAATCACGGAATTTGTCCGGAAAAAATGACCGTCTGGCAACCCTGCTTAAAAAAATACAAAAATTAAATAATAGTACAAGATGAAGCAATCGTAGTCAAAGTGTTAAGTTGTGTCATTTAGCTTGCATTTTCGATCATGAGATGAGCCTTGAGTATTGATCCGCATCAATATTTCAGGCCCTGCAGGCCATTGCTCAGATCCAGAGCGGCATGGAGACTCTGCGTGGCCAAGCTCCGGAACTTTTTAACTCGTGAGTTCTACCAAACTTGCAATATTTATATCTTAAAGCCCTTTTTCATAATCTCGCATTCTTATTTGATAAAATATATCTTAGTTTACTTCTTAATCAATTACTTAATTATTGTTGACTGAAAGGTGGAAGGCACTGGAATGTATTTGAAGTTCTAGTTGTGTATCATTCAAGTTGTTCTTCTGTGTGGGATGGGTACACAGCCGTGAATTTTTTTCCTCTGATACAAATTTTGTGTGTATAATCACGCTCTTAAATGCTAGGTTCCATGTTTACTTAAGGCCTTGATTCTCTTGATATGTTCTCTTGTTTGCTTTACTTCTCGCAAAATAATCTGCAATCTTGTTTGCTTTGCTTCCCTTAAAATAATCTGCAACATTACAACTACGTTAATAAATTAGACTATATTTTTCAATAACGTTAACTTTACGTGTGGTGTCGCCAGACTCGGCACGATGCCCCCCGCAGCCGCTAGCGCCGCCCCCACGCCAGCCGCGGCCCCGGCCGGCCTCGGGGGCGGCCTCGTCCCCGGCACCGATGCCTTCGCCAACCTCATGAGCACCATGGTCAGTCTAATTACTGTCAACTCCTTCAATGATTCCTACGGAATTTACGGTAATTTTAAGGATTTGTTTAGGTCTCTGTATCGCAGTGATTAGCACCGCTGTTTGCAAAGTGAAGGCGGCACAGGATGACAGGAGTTAGTCCAGAATTCGAGCGTCGGTAAGCTCAGTTCATTTCTTAGTGTCGCTGGTGAGCGGCGCTTTGTCCCCTTCAAATATGTCCGTGCTACCAGCATAGCTTTGGGTTGGTGTCTCTAAACTAACTCTGCGTACATGTTACCTGGGGGTAATCTTAAGGTCATGAACAGTACGGTCAGTATACTTCAGTTGACACTTCTCAATATTTCCGACAAAATTGTAAATTTATCTCTCGGACTTGTTATGATAGTTTTACAATATCCCGTTTCGTTCATGAGCTTTGTGGTTTATTTGATTTCTTCTTCCTAAAAATTTATTATTGACTTCAAGCACATTTTTTCCTGTCAATTCCATCCAATACGTAGAACACTACAATGAGAACACCCATTGCTTTAAATAACTAAGCATTAATGTGCTGTTGTACCATACCCTCGTAAATAAATATTTTTTTATCCGTTATGTATATAATTTAAAATGCTGCAAATTAATAAACGATTTTTCTGTTTTAATTTTTTTACCAAACCTGCTCAATAAAACAGCACGCCTAAATATTGTAATATACAAGATAAGTTTATTATGCCCTGTTTATTATGCCCTGCAGTCAGCCGCCCTTGGCAGCGCGGCACCCGCGTCTGCAGGGAGCGGGGCGTCATCCCCCGAGGCTCGCTACGCCCAGCAGCTCGAGCAGCTCGCCGCCATGGGCTTCATCAACAGGGAGGCTAACATACAAGGTCCGTTGAGTGTGAGATGCTAGATATGACCACTGCCGCAATGTCTCACGTTGGGGAATCTTTATTCTGGTCTTTCGGGTTGGTCGGCTCATTTTTAAATGCTGGGTTTTTGTAACCTTGATTAGTACCTATAGTGGATACGACGTTATTGAACTGCCCCTTTATATTAGTGGAGCTATGCTTCAAAGGCTCGCACAAACCACATAGGAATATGTTTGTGACATGATTAACTTCATAGATTCAGGCACGTCTCAGCTCTGCTAACTTGCAGATGTGTTTGCCACATAGGAAATGCCTTCCCCCATAGGTTTTCGCTTTTCGCAATGGTTCTTAGGTCTTCCAGTTTGTAGGTAAAATGTGAGACGGCTGCTCAGGGTCGTGCTGGTCAAAACGATGTTATTTACATTTTGGAGAAGTCTGCAATCTTCTATTGTGCAGGAAAATTTGTAAATTATATTGTTTATGCAGTGGTCCCGACTTTTTACATGGGTTATTTTTCATGATCAAATTCTTGATTTTCATGTTTTGTAGTAAATCAGGAGTTTTATTTGGTCAGTTACTGTTGTGCAGCTGATGTTATTTTGTACAATTGAATTGGGGACTTTTTCATATTTCCTATGACCGCTGTTCATCTGGCTTTGATAGTGAATTCTGGAGACGCATATTTTTGATGTGGATCCATTTGTTCGGATTTGACGTGCTCGAAAATTTTACTGCCAGATGTGGAACTGGGGTTAGCATTGTTGAGGTCGATGAGCCTCGCTGTTTGGTGACTTCGGCTCGTAATTGGTCTTTTAGAGCAAGGTTGATGTTAATTTTACCTTCATTTTTACAACACTTCTTTTTAACTTCAGTTCTTGTTGTTTGTGTGTCTGTCGGTGTGCTACAAATCTTATAATCGATATTTAACACACTTCTACCGGTCCAATCGATCTGATATTTAGCACACTTGCATAAAGTTGGAGACAATGCATGAATCAATTGACAGAATAAATAATTTGAACAATTTTTTATTTTTAATATTAAAAAAATTTGAAAAACTAATTTTGTCTGCTACATATCTTATAATTGCTGTTTTACACACTACTACCTACCTGTCCAATCGATCTGAAATTTTGCACACTTGCGTAAGTTGGAGACAATGCATGATTCAATTGACAGAATAAATAATTTTAAAATTTTAATTTTTTTTTATTTTAAAAATCAAATTTAAAATGACTTATTTTAATATATGATGATAAAATTAGAAATTTATTGAACATACGTATATATATAACATCGAGGACACTGATTTCTTTTGAAGTGTTGTCTTTGAAAAGTAATTTTTAAACGCATATTATCGAGTTTCAAAAGAGAATTATATAGCAACTCCAGTTCAATTTTCTTCTTGATTTTGCTGAATTTTGACATCAAATGACAATTCCGTGAGAAGTGTAGAAGTTGATATTATTCCTTGCTCAGTGTATGAGAGGAGTGGTTGATAAATCCTTTAGTACCTAGTATGCGGTAGTCAGATGTCCCCTCTGTGCCGGCCATTGAGTTTGCGAAGCGTCCGGAGTTTCCGGACTCTTCGTTTTTTCCCATGGAAAAATTTCTTCCCAACACGAGCAAGAAATTTTAATTGGCTTATTGAAAAAAATAATAATAAAAAGCATGTCCTGCTCTTCAATCAAACCTGCATATATTTAAATTATGCATGTCTGAAAAAATCTGTACAGAAGTGAAGAAGATGAGTTGTTCTAACGGAATACGTTGAAGATTTTGTTAATTCATGTATGACAACTTAGAGCCAGTTTTTTGTTTTGCTATGATTTTTTGAAGATCATATGTTCACGGTGCACTTCTTTAGGGGTCATATCAAGTAGCTATTTATTTTAATTTTGTATTGACGTATAATTTAAGTTCTCAGATTGACTTAGAGTCTTAGATATACCTATATATGATGTCATGGATGCCGGAATATAATTCATGCTGTATATTCACGACCATTTTCCTGTGCAGCCTTGACTGCCACGATGGGTGACGTGAACGCTGCTGTTGAGCGGCTGCTGTCAAGACTTGATCCTCAGATTTAAGAAATTCTTCTCCTGTTTATTCTCATCCCGTGTAAAGCAAAGACACTGGAAAAACTAATATAGACATGCGCTGTTCTCTGCCCTGGTCCTGCAAATCTAGCTACGTGTTTAAAACTTTGAAACATTATCAAGCGAAGCCAGCATAACCTTTCAACCTACACTATTTATAAGTTTTAGGTACTCGTGTCTTGTTCTTCATATTTGTTTATTTTTACCGTATTAATCTTGAAACGAATTTCATAAACGTGCCACGTTGGTCGCTGAGAAACAAATCACTGACGTTGATAATGAAAAAAAAAGTTTTACATGAACTCGCGAAACCAAAATCGCAAAATGGAAAATCTTTTGAAGGGTTAGATTTTCAATCATTTTGTCAATAAATGATTTTCAATCATTTGTGCTGGCTTACCTAACGTCTAAATATAGCTTTCGTATAAGCTAATCGTTGGTCCTCAGCACCGTAAGTTTTTCTTGAATTCTTGAATGCTGGAAAAAAAATTTTCAGCCCAACAGTAAAAATTCACCCCGGGATTCTAGCCTCTGTCGGCTGTGGATTTGATTTATCACTTCTTGCTAGAAGGCGAATTGTACTGTTCAAACCCACCCAATACACGGGTGCAGGGACATTATACATCCTGATTATTCTTGTTCATTAGTTTGTTAGAGTATTTAAACCTTGACTCGTGTTTTGGCGACTGTGTTTCAGTTTTGCTTTAAGAACATATTTACTGTCGCCTGCACATGATTATCCTTTGTACACCATCTGGCATTGTTGACGCTGTAGCATTCACTTTTCCTTTCTACAACAAGTTTTCTACTGCTTAATTTGTACTGTTATTTTTATTATATTTTTGGTAATGAGAGCCGCGCCTACGACTAGTTAGCTGCTCAATTTCTTGTGTACATAATCCTCGGGTGCGGCCTCGGTATTTCTATTAACACGTCATCAACTTCGCCTCCAACAAAAACTAATATAGAAAGAATCTGCTTATCGAATAGCTTACAGCTTATTCGTGGCTTTCGTGTCAAAATCTTTAATCCAGCGAGTTTTCTCGCCACAACATTGATTGGAACAACGGGATTTACAGCCGACTGCAAATACGGGTTAATGCTGTTAAAGAACTATCCCGACAAAATGATTTCTTTATACTCTGTGTTTAAGTATTGTCCGGTCAAGTTAGGAAACTTCCTTATATATACACAACTGTAGTAATTTAAGTTGGGTTCCAATACGACAGACCGCCATGCGTTGATAACTCAACTAACGCCGAAGAAGTGAGAAATTGTTTCACTTTCGAACTTTTAATCCTAAATTTTTTGATACGATGTCTTATCACCAATGCTGACCCCACCGGTTGTCCTGCAGGCAATTGGTGTGACCAAGCGATGAGCAGCATAAGACTGAAGGGCTCAACGAACTTGTAAAGGCCTCCACTTAATTATGATTGTGCTTGTATGAGTTGTCTATTTTTACTATTGCAAGTGTATTGTACTATTGCAAGATCCTCAACACTATTAGTGTCACTACTCAAACTTCACACTATTATCTGTATTAATTTTTGCATGCCATGGTATTATGGGTGTTTGCGTTCAGTTGGTTATACAGTGATTACTACGACGTATTTAATTCTTAAAGGGCTCAAGGACAGTGAAACTTTGCGTCGTTATATTATCATGAACAAAATCATTTATTGTTCTTAGCTACATTAAACTTGTTGTCAATCTATGCGAGGAATATTTGAAGAATTGTTCTTGATGGAACGAAACTTATTAATGGTCAACCTGTTGAGAAGAATTCAATCGTTTGCTAATAGTGATTATAAATTGATCGCTTTACAATACTGTCAAATTCTTCGAAAGAAAGCTAAACATATATATTTGATGGTACACATGCGTGTTTTGACCGTATAACTGCATTCTCCGTGTTATCGTGATGTTCTTCTGTGTACCAAACATGTGGCGCGGGATGTCTTCAGAATCCAGTCCGGGACCTCCATGGTAAAGCGATGCTACTGCGTCTTTCATTCCGCCGAAAGTGACTCGGATACATCAGCTAACTGCTGTCCTATGTTCTTGTTTATGCTCTTATGTTCGGTTTTGGTGTCGGGTGTGAGTGAACCTCTTGTTTAATTTTCTCCATTTTTCTTTAGGGCAATAATAGCGCCAACTTTCCTTGTGAGATGAAACTCCTGCGAAACGAGGATTCTTTGCTCTTGAGCCATTGACCCTCAAAGACTCGTGGACTTTGTTTATTTCATTGTTTGCTCCTTAAGTGTGTGGCTTTGAATTCGAGTCCGGCGCCAATTTCCTTTGTTTTGATTTGCTGTAACTATGTCTTCAGAAACTGCAATAATATAATGTGCGGCTTGAGTCAAAAGTCATCTGATTTCAACATACGAATGATTTGAACGACGTATTCCCTTTCAATATATTCTTGATTAGAAGTAAGATTTTTACATTTTATTTCCAATTTTGACACTGAAATTGGGACATTACTGTGTATACTTCTGTGTCTAACTTCTAACGTTTTACTTTTTTTGTCTTAATGAGATATGCGATCCATTTGAGCTTTCCACATTGAATGCATCGGTGCAAAGATAGTAATCTTCTCACTAAGCTGAAAGTGGCTCCATTATTATAGTATCTCTAAACTATTCGTTTTCTGAATTACTTCGTTCAGAGAATAAATCTCTAGAAATCTTTTTCACACGAATTTGTATTTGATGTTTGCTTCATTCGACGCCACAGGTGTTCCCTTGGACTGTTCCACTGTTGCGTCGAGAGTTCCTGATCACTGATGTAAGCGCTGTATTTGTAACATAATAATCTCATACCAACCCGTTATTTGTTTTGCCTCATCTTACCTAATCGCTATGAAGATTATCATGCCAACTCAGTATATTTGAAATTAATTAGCATTTCATTTCGGCGCTTCCATAAAGGGCTTACGTATACTATGGCACCCTAACTTGCAGTTGCTAATCGCATTTGAGTAAATAGTTTCTGTTCTACGAGCTGGACACTCGTCAGTCGTAGCTAGTTAGTTTGACTTTATCAAAATAACAATGCATGTATTTAGTCCAGATGGACGTTCACGTGAGTTTCTCTACAAAAGTTCATTGCGAGTGATACAGATCCCAACAGTTGATTTCGGCTTTGTTCCTTTTAGTTGGAATTTACCAATAATATTCGATTATAATTAATTGACAATGTCAATTAATTATACCTCATGGTTAACTTAGAATGGCTGACTCATCATCAGTGGATGAATGAGGTTGTCATCCACAAAGTTGCCTTATCAACTAGCCTTGAGCGGTACATTAAAAATTGCTATTCCTGCCTAGGCTGCAGGTATGTTCAGTTGAAGCTGACCAGTGAGCTTTCTGCGTTGGTTTCAAATGAGCAGGCTTTAGTGGAGTTGCTACGCAAAATTTATTTGGTACCGCGAATTTTTTCAATGAATTTGTGCCGCATTCTCTTCATCAGATCAATTGTTAGAAAATTATGTTCTGATGGTTACCATCAATCAACTAAAGACCTGTCCAATAAACGTTACTTCCTAACTCGTCTGCTTAGATATTGTAATCGTTCACCACCTTAATGTGAATGCGTAATTTACGAAAATACTTCGAAACTTATCTGGCTATCAGTCATTTTATACGAGTAATATCTATTGTATTGACGTTCGAAAATCTGATTTACTATTTGATAGTAGTAAACCAATTAAGAATAATTTTTGTACTGTAATGGCAATGAACACGTTCACAGGTCAGCGCATCTCGCACTGAGGCCGTCGCAATTATTTTGAGGATCGTAGTGTGAAGTTATAGATTTTTCCAAGTGATGGCAGAGGTTATTATAAGCTGGTACAAACCTACAGCACAGCAAATTAATCGTTACTAGTGAGTAGTGACAGAGAGGTTACTGTCTGAAAGTACAAACCAACAGCACAGCGAATTGATCGTTACTTTGGGACAGCTCAGGTTGTTGTCAGAAATTACAAATCTATTGCACAGAAAATTGATCGCTGCTATTGACAGCAGAGGTTATTATCAGTGGTAACAAACCTGTTGCACAGCAAATTGAGAAGCTGCTGCGCTTCCAATTGGTTTGTGGACACGCCGGCGTGAAGATCGTCAAGGCAGTTTAGTCGAGGCGAACTATAGGCATTCACGAAGTCTGTGAAGTACGTTTCATCTGTAGACTGTGATTCATTCTGAAATACAACTTCAGATTTGTTTGCAGACCGAATTTCTTTTGAAAACCGGTTCGCGTTCTGAAATCCATCCAAGGACTTGGAATATTCATTTAAATTTATTTGTAGAGACTTGGGATGCTGAAACAGTAATTCGTCGACCTTCGTGAAATTTCTATTCTTAGATTCACCTTTGAGACTTAATGGTGTTTTAATTTCGGAATCACCTACCTTCTTGAGATTTTGTTTGGTGTATCCGACTTTTCTTGTTTTACTTGATGGAAATTCTTCAGCGGAATGCAATCGGTATGTAGTGTTATGGTACATTCCAGGTTTGAAGCGCGACTCGCTAGAGTTGGATTTCTCCATTTTTGTGCGTATGCTTTTGTAGAGATTTGTTCTTGGAGCCTCTTTGGCATCAGCCGCAAAATATTTCTGCATCTGTTCTAGAAGAAACCTATACTTCAAGGTCCTCATTTTCTGGCCTATAAGGAAAGGAACAGCGTTTGCCGTTTCCTTATCATGCTTAAATAATACTGCACAGTCCCTACGGCTTGCTAAATTTAAAGGTAGCGATGAATCCCAGAACAACATCTTCGGTCTTTCCATTTTGGTCCTGTTTTTGAACCGAATAAGTGAATCGATGCCGTCGAAAGATTTTGAGTTATAAGATTCAAAGTTCAGATATTCGGCCTCTGAAGTCGAATTGGGTCGCAGATTTAGTGGTAGGTTTGAAACGAATTCTTTGTAGCGCCGCCTTATGTCATTCTCCAAATAATGTCTGGTTGCTTCAGAAGCAGCTACGTGCTTCGCAAATTTATCGCCGTTGAGACCGTGGATGTTGAAACTGTCAGACAGATGATCGTCATTCATGCTCAACCGTTGCAGGAGGACGCTATCACGCCACTCTGTATTCGCCACGTTATTGACGTCATATTTGACGTTATATTCTGTTCTGGCGTATGGACGCTGTCGAGTTTGCGCCAGAAATAAGACAAGTGTTTTATTAGAGAGTTTCTTCACTAATGTTGTAACCATCTTGTCGACTCCTAGCAGATAGTCGATGCCGTTCAATGCCGTGAATGGAAGCTTGTTGTACAGCACCATCAAGTAAAACATCCACTGGCCATAGCCTGTCAGGCAGGAAGAAATTACTATCTTTTGGATATCAGGCAAGAAATTTGTACACAAAAACCTCTCACTGCTGTCATAATAGTTAAAAGTTGCGAGACAAGTCTTCTCTATCATCGATGTAGATCAGAATACCTCAGCTGCAAACAAAATGTTCCACTAATCATTGACGCGACCAATACTAGATTTTAACTTGTATATTCTCCAAACCAGTGGCGTCAACCTAATGATCAAGTCGTACTAGGAGTCATAGAGTTGCGATGTACCAATAATACTGCTTATTAGCCGCTGCGGTGTTAATTTCAGTTTCTTACTTAAACTTAAAGCGCTGCAGCAACGCAAAAGTGGCGTAAGACAACAGTTGCAATAAGTTGCCGGATTGTCTTGTCTTATACAGAATATATTTTCCTTCGGTAAAAAGACAAATATTTTCTATGACCCACGAAACTGTTGGATGGGAAGGCCCTCGCTTACCTCTAGTGGTATGCGTCCCACAGTTCAAAAACCACTGAGCTCTGAACGATTCAAGACCGGGCAAGCGTTAGCAATAGGCGAGTTTTAACTCCTACGAAACTCCTGCTGAACTCACCTATGATAAGGACGTCGGGGGCCTGGGCTTCGTCTTCTATCCACCCTATCAGCTGCTGTACGCTGATGCTTTCTTTGATGCTTTTCTGGGTGAAAAAACTGAAGCGTTCAAACCTGGGAACAAAACGTCACGTCATCGTCATGCATGTTAACATTTGCTGTGATAGCATCACCATTACATGGCAAAGCTACTGAATTTTACTAAAATGTACCACGAACTGTTTTGAATAAGCCTTATAACATAGATTGCGATCACAAAAAAGCTAAGATTGAATTAAACATATCCAACTGTGTGATCGTTGTTAACACACACGAGCGAGATCCGCAGCCCAGGAATTGTCGATGACACGGCATGTCTACTGCTCCAAATATGGCGGTCATCCACCATCTCCAGCAGAGACTCCGTCAAGGATGTCGTGCCATTCTAAAATTGAGATACAAATATGCGTTACTCAATGGTCATATTCGCTGCATGTTATAAATAAAAGATCATTGTGTTTGATACTTGCCGGAAATTTTCTCTCCGCGGCACTTCAAGAACAAATATTTCATGATTCGTTTGTTTCAGGTGCACTTTTTAGATACACAATCAATTATTGAGTACCAGAGATTCGGTTTGATTTTTTTAGGAAAATACTTACTCTGGAGTTATAATTGTAATTGTTGTCACGTACGATGAAGTAATTTACTCGTCCTAAAGGTCAAAAGGTGAACTCTAATGTTAACCCATACTCGTTTATTAAGGATCAAGGATGAGTTCTTAGGTTGTTCTGCCATGGAATCTAATCCATCTTATATTCCGTATTTGTTCTGCGGTATTACTTATGTAAAATCAAAAATACTCTTACTCACATCTCGATGTATAACGTAGTCAAGATGCCTGGTCTCCATAAGCAAAGTGAAGAACAAATCTCTTAGTTTGGAGTCTCCCAAGAAAGTGATGTTGTAAGTTCCGTTGTTATTCGTGACAGTTCGATTTAGGCACCGCAAAGTATCTGGGTACTCGTACATCTCCATCATGCACGGGAGGCTCGGCAGCGTGTTTGCCGTTAACTCTAGAACTGACTTTTCAGTAATTTTATACGAATAAACAGGCTGATTTTTTAGCATTGATTCTTTTACTCTATATGTAGACGTGAGGTTTACTGGATACTGAACTGTTTGCTTGAGCTCTGAGCGCCGAAACATTTTTTCAAGGAGACTGGGGTAAAATCGACTTAAATTTTCATATGGCTCCGTAGATCCAGCGATGTTTTGTTCAAATTTCCGTTTTATTTCTTGCAAAGCTTTGAAAACGTCACCAGAATTAGTTTTCAAGTATTTCACATTAGCAGTGACACTAAACAGCGACTGACAGCTTTCATCTGCCAAATATTTACCATTATCATTAGTAGGGAAGTGAAGGCGATCGATAAAATTTGTGTTCTGCGGCATCGTTTGTGTCGAAGATTTTGTGGACTCGTTCTTTAATAAATTTACTATCGCTAATATCAAAATGAAAATCAGAAACATGAGTAACCTGGCACGTCCGCCCATCCCAACGACTGAGTTGAACTGGGAATTTACGCGGAAAGTTCTTTTAAAAAGCTTTTTGTTCAATTGTGCGCAGCAACATACATGCATGTTATTTATCCAATAATTTTCCTCGTGCCATGGAGTTGCACTGGACGTTTAGAGTCTAGACGATTTTACGTTTTGAATTTCACTTTTTTTGTCGTCTGCATGTTGAATACTCATGCGATGACCAAAATATTGGTTAAACCAACCATAACATATACTTCTACCTTGCTTAAAGAGACGCATAGTGCCCATGAGTACGGATAGCTTGGAGTTGACAGTAACTGCTTGAGAACTGATTTGCAATTGTGTCATCATAGGATGGCTAGTGAGCTCGCGACGCCCCAAGATCGTGACCGAACACTAATATTGCTGAGGTCAGCGGCAGGATCTGTGATGGCCGGGTCAATCCATGGGACGTTAAGAGCTATCCTGTCTAAGCCTCTGAGGATCAACGGCTGAGCGCTATAGCGACCTAAGGAGCTCAGTGTCATCAGGATGACAAATTGAGGCGCTCGATGAGCGTTAGATCAAATTATATGCATGCTTTAGAACAGAGCACATTGTATCACTTGTCAGTTTTTTAGGTATTCATGTGTAATGATACTCTCTCTGAATGTCCTAAATTTATCGCTCAAGATTTCACCGAATTGTCAAAATTAATCGTCAACCACATCTCCCGTAAGCATTTTCAATATTCTTTGTTGGTTATAGATATTTATTGATTTGAAACATGATTTCATGAATGATTTCAAATACTAGAATTATCCTCTATACAGTTTGTTGTAAATTGACTGCAATTTACCTTGTTAACTCGGTTTAAATTACTTGATTATCGGAAATGTTTTTGTATCTCTCATAAATTCGAAAATCAGCGGAGCAATGGGAGCCGTTTGCAGCCTTGCTTGAAATTTCCTGCGTTTCTGCCGACATTATCCCAACGCGATATTTTGTTCATGGCCCTCAGGGACTGCCGGCAGATTGGAGCGCTGAAAAACGTGGAACGAAATCTTTTTATCCCAATCTCGTGGCAAACAAAGGAAATATTTCTTGAACGCACTGTATAATTGTTCTGCATTATTGGAGTTGGTAATGCTATTTAGTTTAGACCTTCAAGATATTTAACTGATTCTTACGGTACACGCAACAGGCTCTTGACATGCCGATTTCAATCGGTTGCTAGGGACTAGCCTACAACTGACGACCATTTATTTAGAAATGTAGCCCTTTTCATTCAGAGGAGAATATTTACCTCATTGCTTTCAATTAGACACTATGGTTTTGGTTTTTGGCTCCAACATAAATTGCTTTTAAAAGGCATATTGTACAGGAATATTCCAGGTATTTATCTCACCTCAAACCTTGTCAGTCCAACTAAAAAAATTGCTCTTTTCATCTGTATTTGGGGATAAATTGGGTGCGTCACATTCATCCTGCAGATCCTCATCATCCAATTCGTCTTGATGGAATATCCGGCTATCCCATCTCGCGTTGACAGCGTATCACGGAAATCTGAGGACGTGAGCGTAGTGGACTCTTCCAGTACGATGATGGTTTTGGCGCCTGTCATTCTATTATCTGCCGATGACCAGTGTTCTGCCAGACTCAATACCGATTTGTCATTTGCATCGTAATCATTTTGCGCCATCAGGGCACGTACGGCTCGAAGTTCTCGTTGTGGCATGTGAATGAAGACCAGAGTTATTATTTCGATACACGCTCGGATGAACAATGTATTGAACCCGAACTTTTTTACATCTGCATTTATGCCCAAGTTCATATGGTATCCATATACATACGCAGTATCAATAGGTAAATTCAGTCTGGTATTGACTAGTTAATGAGTTACCATTCAATTAATTGCTTGTATTACATCAACAAATGTCATGGAACCCATTGAATTTGTTTCTGTTTAATTCCTCAATGAAAATTCAATGCTATGATCGAATGTCATATGAATATTATTTATTCCAACGAAGATCGAGGGTAAAATAAAGGTTTACATATGGTTCTCAATAAGCATAATCTGAGAGAAAAGCTACTGGGGACAAAGAATGACTTATGAGATCATTCAACAAAACTGCACGACTTGATTGCCACGAACCGCATGTTAAACACTGAGATACTTGTACAATTGATAGCGAAATAGCCAAATAATAAAATGAAATAATGTTAAAAATTCCTTATTTTCTGAACCATGAAAATGAAATAATTATTAAAATACAATTCCTACTATGATGAACCAGAAAGGATGCATGCATTAATGATCGTCTTGAATGTTCACACAAAAGAGTGTGAAGCTGAGACACCAGCGACGCAGGTGTCTCAGCTGTTATTGTGTCCTGCAATAAATTTAAACGCCCAGTTTCTGGGATGATTGAAACGCTTCCAATATACAAGGCTGCGTAAGCTCCATGGAATTTGTCTGTAACAAAATTAATTTGTACTTTGACAAACTAGTAAAAATTTGTACACAATTATGTGGTTATATATACTGATGTTCTGTAAATTTCTTGCTGTCGCCTGGTAAATTACCATGAACTATTCACTTTTGAACCAGACTTCCGCTTCTGAATTTTTGGTTCTACAGTTGAAGTATTCCGTTTTTTAATACTGAGTGACTGTTTGAATATTTTTGGTGCCACAAGTTTGATTGAGACTGATCTTAGTTATGTGTTAGCTCGCTATAGAATTATTTTTTCGATAAGTAAAATGCCCACACGCTAATTTGAGTGCTGCTGCTTAAGAACGGTTTACTTCAGTAAAATTCGATTTGTGTATTAATAACATGCCCGGTTGGGTCTACAAATGTGCATTAATTAAATGTGGCATTGCTTGAAGACTTTGGAGAAAAAATTTCAATTTGTTGCCTCAAAAAAATTGGTTAATGTCAAATAAAGTGAAATGCGGCTGATATAAGGCGAAAAGAAATCAATTATTCTGGCATAAATGAAGTTGATTTTCGCTTCATAATTTCATTAAAATTCATGCTATTTGAATTAGAATTAGAGAGTTAAGCAGTTACATGTAATTGTGAATTTCTTTGATGAAACACTACTTATCAGTATGCATGATCTCCACTCCCATATTTAGAATTTTAAATAGTTAGTTGAATTTTATCACAATTTATAAACAAATTCCAGCAAGAAAGAGATATAAATTTGACCTCATTTTGTGGTATTAAAGTTATAAATCGAGTTGAATTGAATAATTCAATATATATAATTGAAGTCACTGATCGATCAAAATGAAAATATAATCTTCTCTGATTGCAACCACATAACCATAGACTTGAAGAAAGTTAAATTCATCCCATGTAGATTCATCCTATGCAGTGCAAAACGCTCCATGAACTTGATTCCCATCTCCGTTCATAAATAGAACAGGCTAAAGTTTATAAATTCGAATCTATTTTCTTATTCAATTAACTGATACGAGTCTTTAATCATAATAATTCTCAGCTTATGACAATATTTAAACTTCAACTTCACCTCGCTGTTTTTCACGATCACCTGAGTTTTCAAAAATTTCATGAGAAATAACTTTAATTCTATTACGTTCTATGATATTACTGTTTGCTAGGAATCCCATCATATGTATGTTTTTCCATCCATACCCATCATCGCGTTCAACGTATTTCATCTACGTATAATTTGAACTTGGGTCCACATCTTGCATTAAACTGTACTTTCCGTTTTATTCTGAAACTTCATTTGCCGCGCATTCGCATAACTTTTGCCGGGCATTTTTTCTTACTTCGAGGGCGAAACTTTCGTTGGACAAAAATTGATGCATGGACACTTTTTCACGGTATATATTCGGTATTTAAGAATTGAATTGTGATTGTTGTAGCATATCAATTTTCCTGTATGCTTAATGACTAGCCACGAAGAAGAAGCACGTTTTAGAAGTCGTGCTCTATTAGTATTAACATTCATTCTCGTTTGGTGCTCATTAGTCTGGCTCCAATAAAAGATTGTACCGGTTTGCCGGGAACTTGGCCGTGCACCTCCAAATTTGTGCACTTGGTCAGCCCTGAAAGGAACGCCTAGCATCTAGTACATTTCCAGATGACCACCAATCAGCCGTGGATTAAGCTAACCGTCAGTAAACAGCCCATGACATCATTGCGTGTTGAATATTAGGAGCCTTACGCCACCATGTACTGAAGCGAATAGTCCAGAGTGTAATGATCGTCCACCACTGAAGGTTTCATCTAGTCATCAGTTCGTAGCCTTACTTCGTACCCCTGGAACTGCATGAATCCTGCCGTGCACCACCAGACGGTCACTCTTAATACAGGATCTGGGTTTAGGTTCCAGATAGCATAGTTTTATTTCAAATTTTGTCGTCTTAACTCTCACGACGAGTGGCAGTTCGATCGTAGGCTGATTCGACACACGGGACAGATACGGACGGGTCGGTGGCAGGCATCACAATCGCAGCCAGGCTACGGACGCTCCGTCCGGGTGGTGTAAATTTTTTTGCGTTGGCAGGCGATGCTGAGCCATACTTCGTCAGGCTACTTTCCTGCGGGCTGATTTATCTAATTCAATGATGTGATCTGACTGGTGGCTTGCAGCTAGATTGTTACAATCTAGAAGTATTGCAGGCTGCGTTCTTAATTGAGGGAAAATATCATGATGGTCCCTCCGATTCCATTGTCCTACAGGCGTCCGTTAGTACTCAGAGGACCATTTGCTTATAATCGGCTAGCTTTTGGCTTGACAGCGTCACCCTTGATTTTTCTCAACGCGTTATGGATTCATTGTTCGCTGATATAAAGAATTGTATGTACCATCTGCACTTTATTCTTGTCATACGAAGAAATGGTGCTGATCATTTCCGATCTTTTCAAAAGTAATGGACTAATGGATAGGATGCATGATAATGGTTTCGAGTTAAAGAGGAATAAAAAAACTAATGTTACTTTATGAAAGACTATGTTCAGTACTTGAGACATGTGTTGATAAGCAAAA